AGTTTTTCCAAAATTTTCATTTATAATCATTCTTCTCATCCGTAAAGTTTCTTTCTCTCAGCACTCCCACTGCCCCAAAATGTTATATCAAAGCTTTTGAAAAAAATCAAGTTTATTTTTTATTTTTCACAAATTTTGAAACTTTATTTTTTGCTTTTGTTATTTCATATTCATTTTTTGGGACCTATTATGAAAGAATACTAAAAAGAAACAAATGCATAAATAAAATAATGTGCAAGCACAAGAAGAATGAATCAAACAAAATATTGAATAAAAGCTGTGGCGCAGCTAGAACCAACACAACACAACACGTCTTGATCCCCAATCGTTGAAAGAAGCATCTACTATTTCCAAAATAATCGATGACCCCAACATATAAGATAACCACAAATTGACCGGTGATCTCTAATAATATTCAAGAGAGTCACCAGCCTCTTCCTCCTTTCCTTCTCCAGACTATTGTATAAACTTGAAAATTAGTTACTACCATTGCAAGAACTAGTACCGCCAGACCATAGCCGACCAACTTAGCACTCGTTAATCTTACGCTCCAACAAGCCAAGGTTTTCACTACCTAAGCTCCAGGCTCTAGCCAACATTTCCCACCTGGTAGTTCTTCTTGTAGTTCTATCAAAGCCTCCACAAATCACGCCTCCTCACGACTTCCCTACAATCCTCTTACGCCTCTACAAATTTCCCTCACGACTAGTTCAACCACTTGTTAACTTGAAGTGTTAACTTCATAACTATCTGCTCCCCAGAGGTTAGTTGCCCCGGCTGTACAGCTACTGGAATATTCGCGTAAGCCTCATCAAGACATCTCTGAGCCACACTGAACTTGAACTAATATTCTACTCTATTCCTTCTTAGAATGTGTGTTCTTTCATCTTGTTTGACTATAATTACTACATCCCGTCTCTCCAGTAAGTAACCCAAGTCTGACATGCACCACCTGACCAAGTCTCATGATTTCAAATTTGTGTTTTGGAGCTCTGGAATCCAAAATAAGCAGCCACTTTTCACTGTCTAGGCACTGTACCTGGTGGTTAAACCAGGCTGTCACCTGTTCCACTTGGGTGCTAGCCACCCAGCTAAATTAACCAAGTCCCTCTCATTGGAGGAGGGACTCATCCGCTAAGTCAACCCTGCAGAAATCCACATTTTTCAATCATGTGTAGTAGCACCATTTTTTTGGCTGATCATCATGTTTTGGGAAAGCAAAAGATGCACAAGATCATGGAGAATCATTCCATTTTGTTTGTTGGTTTTTTAGGCCCTTGGGTGGCAATGGCATTCAGCTTGAATTTTTGGGTTTGGTGAAGACAATTCTCCTGCCTCATCCTGCATCACACATTTGACACTGTACAGTATCTGAATTTGGAAATGTTACAATCATCATTGAATGAAGGAGATTTGCTTAAACTAGCAAAATCAGCATAAAGATGGGGACAGCTTGAAAGATCCCAAATGTGAAAACTAGAGGGGGAAAAAAATCAACCAGATTTGTGTGAGATTGATTGTAAAAGAACACCCACCAGAACCAGCTGCAGGGTGGAAATTGCTTGTAACTGTAAGTCCCAAAAAGTGGTTTGCATGACTGTAATTATGAACTGAGCTGCAGTGGGTGTGTAGTGCAAATGGCAGGCCATTAAACCTTCTCTGCAAAAAGTCTTAGTGGACTCATGCAGCTGCATATAGTATGTTAAGTGCAGTTTTTCCTTGTAAATTTAAATGTATATGTATGTGGTGTACTGTATATGTAGGCTTGAGTGTTCTAAGTGATAGGTGTAAGTGCCTGATAGGGTGTAGAGAATGATAGAGTAGAGCTTTGATTATACTGTGAGTTGCTATCAGGGGCAGTTTGAGCTGTAGAGTGAAATTCTTTAGAGATATAGAGTGGTTTATAGAGATAAATAGACATAAATAGAGTAAAATTAGAGAAAAATTAGAAACTGTACAAACAAAATTTTCATTTTGGCTACATGGTTTACCAGAAAGCATACCACACCCTGCGCTGTGTATAATCATAACTGAGTAGTGACTTGAGGCTTGTGACATTTGAGTGACTTAGTGTTGGCCTTGTGATATGTGTTGGTAGGATTGTAACTTATAATCTGTAAGGTTTCCGGCGACTTTACCAGTGGTGAAATTGGGTGAAATTGTCCATAGATTCCATTTCTGAATCCATCTTATATCATTTTTGAATTAAAGGGTGAGAAAAATGTACATAAATAAAGACTTTTTTTTACATATTCAATTACCACGAGATGAACTTTCTTAATGGAAATGAATTATGTCAGGGTTCAATTTCTTTGGACTCAAGATTTAAATCCCAATCCATATTCACATTATAAGATGTATCAAGTGTATTAGGGGTTTCTCAAAGTTGAGCCAAATAGAATTATGAATGTATAAATTCTGCATGAATAGTAATTCTTTTTTGATGGAAAACTCAAAATGAAGGGCCTGTACAGTGTACTGTGGAAATAAATTCTGAACAAAGCTCATTTTTTGGCCTTTTACACAAAAGATTGAAAACAAATGGAGAGATCTGTTGTTGGAATTCTTCATTTTTAGGTCAAAAGCTGGCCTTTGTTCATCATAAATTTTGATGATATGAAAATTTGAGGAAAACAAAATGTGAAGAATTCCCAAAAGATGAATTTTAATACCAAATGTCACAGGCCCTAAAGTTCAGTTATTCTTGTCAGCAAAAAAATATACATGCACTTCTATGAGTATGGATTTATGATTCTATGCAGCTCAACTTTGCACACCACTATTCAAAGGTATTCCAATATATCATAAATAATTGGGATTTTCCCTCAATTTTGGGGAGTTTGACTGGTCTTGTTTTTGCCTCAATGACCTTTTTCCCCTTTTGGGGGTTTTGCTTGAATTAGGCACCTGTATCAGTCCAACATTAGTGGTGACAAATTTGGATTGGATGTTGACACCAGTGTTAGATTGCATATTGACTCTTTGTTTGGCTCTCTGAAACCATATTCTTTTAGTCACATGTGGATGAATCAAACATTCAATTTGGAAGGTATGAAATAATTCTGCATTGGATGAGCACTTGATTCTAGTTCAAGATGAGTGTCATTCCTTATCTTATCCTAGACTCACATAGAATGGGTTCCACTTGACGGAATTTAATCCTGTTTGGAGAATACATCTATCTGTGCCCAGCCAAGTGATTTGAGACTCAGAAGACCGACTATTGTGAAAGATCCCAGGTGAAGTGTGCTTGTTTAAGAGCTCACTTATGTTTCAATTTCAAATTAAACTGTCAACCCCAAGCAAGTGTGCAAGACCTCATAGAAGCTGGAATCTGTTTTATCTTTGATTTTAAAATTGGAATATAAGAAATTCTGGCTAATTTGCAGGAATGAGTTTTGAAAATGTAGAATATTTAGGTGAGAATATGCAGGAAAAAATCACACAAGATGCAATCTTTGATTTTCAGATAATGATATAAGACTATGATGCAATAGTGAGACTCCCTGGTTTGTCTGAACACTGTAGGGGCAAAGAAAGAATATTTGCCAATGGTTTCTTCAGGCGCGGTGGATTTTAGATCATTTTTGGAGCTCTGTTGTCAAGGAGGCCACAGGAATCGGGCTTAATAGCCAGCAACGTAAACTGGCTGAGGCTGAGCCACGTAAACCGGAGCTGGTTGAGTGACATAAATGGGGGGCGCTTGTTGTGCCGGGCCTGGGGTCACTACAACAGTTGATGGTGTCTGGTACTGGTAGGCTGTGGGGCACCTGCAATCAATCCCCCAGTGCGGAGCGACTTCGCCGGCATAAAACCTGGTTACATAGAAATAAGCAATTTTTCAAGAATGAGTTTAACAATTTTTTAGACGGTGACCATGATTTCCTTTTTTTTTCTCCAGTCTGACCTTGAACAGCAATCTTGACAGCATGCGGCTGATCCCCAGTCCACGCAACCCTTTCGTTGATTGATAACAAAACAAGCTAGAGTAGAGAGAATGTATTGGTTTAGAATTGATTTTGTTTTATCAACAATCATCATTCAATCTTGAATTTAGATCTATCAGGCGACCCAAAGTAAGGAAAACTTGAGGAACAACTCACAGCTACGTTTCTCAAGCATATGGCGGCGAACTGGGCTAGTCCCTTGATCACCAAGAACCGAGAGTAGGAGTGAGCTGGAAGTCAGAAGAAGAGATAATATGCTTAAAGGAGAAGGCATTGTGATATTGGTTGAAAGTAAGCTTGAAGGCAATTGGAATTGGAAGAATTTAGAAATATAGGATGAAAATGAAATCCAATTCTAAGGTGGTTGAAGAAACATGTGAACACAAAGAAATGGGTTGATCTACAACTATTTAAGCAATGTAATGCTTCTCTTGTGTTATCGGAAGGTATTCCATTGAGCGTCAGAAGCTGTGCTGTTGATGTCGTCCTCACGGGAATCAAAGACCGGCCAAGCAAAATAGACCTCGATCAGGGACACTGGGGCGCCGAAGAAACCTACTACAACTGATGAGGCAACGCTGACGCGGACACTCGAGTTCCTCGCCAAGGCCTTTTCAGAGTGAGACAGAGGATTCCTCTCCCGGTCTTACTTGGAATTAAATGATGATATGAATGTGGACATTCAAGTCAAAGAGTATCATTATCACTTTTGAATCAAATTTTTGTGGTGAAGGTGAATTCCAATTAGATCAGTTACAGTATCCTATGCAAAGTTTCACCAAGACAAAAAAAACTAAACAGGACAAGTACAAGCTGCTCGGGCCGGACCACTTGAGAACAGAATCGATTCAATAGTGAGAACAATGGACAAATGAATTCATAGATGAACATTTTCCAAGAATGGAGGCGAGCCAAGCGGTACCAGATTTGGAGGAGCGGCCTTGCTGAACCAGTACAAGCTGTCCCACCACAGGGTACACAGAGACGTAGTTTGAGTGCAGGGCACCAAACAGATAGCAGCAACAGACTGGAAAACAGCTGTCAGTCTGCTACCTGGAAATAATTAGGGCTGGGATTCAGTTTTCAAAAATGGGCATTTTTTTCTGCCTTCTATTCTAAACAAAATTTGACAAAAAGCAGAGAGTTCTAAAATTGAGAGTCTTCACTTTTATGCTAATGACTGGCTTCTAAGTTCTGGTGATGTTCAATTCTGTCAGAGGGAATGATAATTTGAGGCTACGTAATAGCAATACTTCTTTCCCCGTCTATTGAGTGTCTGTGGAGCCGTTGGTTGATACCCAGATCTTCCACCAATGACTCCCACATCCCCTCTGGTGGTTATAACCAGCGGCTGTTGGCTGGAGAAGGGATTGATTACTTTGTGAACTCTGAAACAGCTGGGTTTAGTCAAGAATTGGTGGACAGACCTATTCAACAAAGCTGTAAGACCACTTAATCAATCAGATGTTTTGACAGACTGAGATGGAGGCCGACTGGAGGCCTTCCCTTTAGAGCCTCCAAAACCAAATCCCCCTCGCAAGAATCTAGAGTTTTCGAGCCTATGTAGATAGACTGATGCAAGGGCTCCAGTTCGCACGGGATGTCCTCCACTATTTAGATCTCTGTCTCAGATCCAGAAGAGTCTTTTCATTCGGGGCTTGGTTCAAAGGTTTTGTATATTAGTATTTCTCAATCAGTTTGCCGGGTTAAAGAACCAAGTCCACACACACACATACAAAAAAAAAACATCTACACAAGCACATGCACAAATATATATAAGGTGAAACAAATCTAAAGAAGAGCAGAAAAAAAACAAGCAGGAAATCCGGCCGTTATAGTATGAGTTAGATTTGAAGAAGGAATGGAATAAGAAAAGAAAAGGAAACAAAAAAATTGTTCTGGATTAATGATTGATGGTAATGGAGAATGATAACCAAGGAAGAAAAAAGCAGGACGGAAGGCAAAGAAGAGCAAGAAAAAAATCAACATTATTCTGTGAAGATGAGTATATATATGTATCTTGAGATGTAAAAGAATGGATGTGTTTGAGGGTAGGGTCAGAGCGAGAGCGAGAGTCAGAGCAAGAGAGAAGGGGAGGGTGAGGGGCAAGAGCACGAGAAGGCCGAGAAGAGCAAGAGCAAGAAGAACAAATCAGAGCGAGAACAGGGCGAGACTATTAGAGAACCAAGGAAAGCGGGCGGAGAAGACTCGCTCGATTGATCATGACCCAATTCAAGTCAGACTGCAAACAGAACCAACCACGTTGTCCAACCCCCCTCCCATGACAATCAATACCAATCAAGAAACGGAAACATGGCGACAGATGTTGGGAACCCTTATCCAGTCCAGAGGTCAAGATATAACAACAGATCAAAAAAATCAAATCGAGATGGATAATGAACGAAGAAAGACTGAAAACGAAGGTGTGGAAATCTGTAGATGTATTATTATAATGAAGATCAATCATTCTCAAACAACAGTATATATATTTGTTGATTTATTTTAGTATATATATATATATATGTAGGTAGATATATACGTATGATAGATGTCAAGTCTAGATGATAAGAACAATAACAATAGTAACAAAAAAGAATAGCTTTCTTCTTTTTTCTCTTTGACAATGTAATAATAACAATAATAAACATGTATAAAAAAACTGGAAAGTGGAAAGTGGAAAGAGACAGAGACCTTCTAAACAAAACGAAAACAAACAAAAAACGAACATATAAAAAGCTTTGAGTACTTCTTGTTTTTTTGTTTTTTTCTTTATTTTGTCTTTTTGGGGGAAAGGGAGAGAGAGAGAGAGAGAGAGGAAGAGGAGAAGGAGATAGAAGGAAGGGAAGGGGAGAGAGGGGAAGGACAAACCCGATGGTCAAGTTATGAATTTTTTTTGTCTTTTTTCTATGAAAAAAAAAAATTAAAGAGTGTATAATAATGATGATAAATGAGATGATACTGTTGTTGTTCTTGGTTGTTTTTGAAGGGGAGGAAGATTTAAATGAAAAGATCAAACCAACATATAAAGAAAAAATAAAAAATAAAACGAATATATAAAAAGGGTGTTGCACAAAAAACCGATCGTTTGTTTCTCTTTCTTTTTGTGTTTGTGTTCATGTATGTATGCATTGAGAAGATGTATAAGTATAGAAGTGAGTGAATGTACTCCACCAAAAAGAAAGAAAGAAATTAATTTTATTTTAAAGTTTCAGTTCCTGTAAAATCCTACGAGCTATTTAAAAATAAATCAATCAACATTAACTGAATCCAACCCAAAGAAGAGGAGGAGTGAGGGAGAGTAGAAAAAGACAGAAAGACGAACCAAAAGTTTGATATTGCCATGCATTACCGGAAATTCGACGAAACTGCAAGCCAGAGATCCCAGGAAGCAGGGGCATTTTAACGATAAAAATTTCGAACCGAACGACCAAATCTAATTTTTTAACACTACCAGTATTATGATTATTATTATTATGAAGATTATTATTTCGACTTTTGCTAGTGGTAGTATTAGAAGAAGGGGGGCGATCGTTTTTCGAGATATTAGATGAGGTTCCTTGTTGATTGATCGGTCCATTGACTGGCGAAGTCAGTTCTCCTAATTCATTCGACGGGGCACCGATAATAATCGTTTCAGTCCCTGCAAGTGACGGAGTGGCTAGTTGATCAAGAAAAGAAAAATCTCAAGTTCAGTTTACAGAGCTCATAAGATTATGGTGAGATGAGAGATAGGCTGACCCTGTCGAGGGAGATCTCCGGTCTGACTCCCACCATTCAACGAGGGTTCCGAAAGACCATCGGGGGTTGGATTAGGAGTAGTGGCAGTAGAACCATTAACCTTAAGTCGTTGGTTATCAATGAGCGCATGATGTTTACCGAACGAAGCTTTAGATACCTTCTTTTTCAAAGACTCTGCCGTCTTCTTACCGCTCCTGTTGTAATGACTAGGAGGGGAAGATATGGGTACGAGGTTCTCAACCCCACCGGTGTTGGCATTCAAGTTGCTCGTGCCTCCGTGATAGCTCGATAGATCGATGCTCGGCGCATGTGCACACTCAAATCCACCCTTGATCTCCCGATGTTGGAAGCCGATCCGGTTCAGGACGGTCACCAGATCCGCCCGGAGCACTTGTGGCCCCCGCGTGGACGTCGTAGCTACCGAAAACAACCCCTGTGTGATAGCGAGCCATTTGAAATCAGCGCCAGGGAGAGAAAAAGAAAGAAAGAAGAGAAGTTCACACTGGTGCGAAGCTAACTAACCTTGAGATAGATCGGCTTAATCTTGTCACTTGATTTCGAAGAGGGTGGCGCAGTGCGACCCGAGAAAGCGACGAGGGGAGCAGTATGCTTAGGCAGGGTGCTATCCGGGGAGCCGATCTCGAGAGGCTGGACGTCGGCGTCTTCATCAAGAGGATTCGGCTCACCTTCACTCTCAGAGAGCACGTTAGTGGTGGCCGGGTTGGTAGATGGTGATGTAGGGCGCTTGGCCTTACCTTGGAGAGAGCTCATACGAGGTCTCCAATTGGGGCCACTCGCGCTCGATTTGAGCGCCACTTTCCCTTCTCCCTCGCTGGCGGGCATGTCATTGTGTCCTGCTTCCCCACCCGCCGATGATCCCCGCTGATGGTGACGAGATCGAGAAGAAAGATTAGCGTCCAGATCAGATTTAGCTCCGAAGGCAGCCATCGGCCCGGATTGGCCGCTTATCGGAGCACTCATTGGGATGGCATCAGTTGGGATATCATCGGAGACATGGTCTGGCTGGGCTTGAGCAGCCGTTTGCTGCTGTTCCTGTAAGCCACCCGGGCTGAATGGGGGCGATAAGCCAGTGGATTCGGTGACTTGCGGTAAGGCGCTCAGGGGAGTCTTGCTGCTTGATTTATGTCCCAAACCGATACTACTTCGGGGCCGATGTCGTTTGTAATCGGGATCGTTGACCGATGCAGAGCGTCCCAATAGCGAGCCAAACCGTCTAGCAAAACCTGTCGGAGAACGTTCAGAATCCGAGGGGCCGGCAAGAACGTTGGCCGGCTCAACCATGCTGACCACCCGGTCAGCCCTTGTGTTGGGACCATTGGCATTCGAATCAGGGGCTCTCTGAGAGGGCATCACGTCAGTCATCGCTTGTAATACACCACTAGACTCGGGGGCGGTCATGATGTGAACACTGCGTCTCTTGGAAGGATTAAAGCTATTGAGAATCTTGGCCCGGCTCGGAGCGAATTCCGCCGTGTGGGAGGGGGAGCTTGGGGCAGATGGTAGTGGGGTCGAAACCATCCGTTCGGTGGCAGTGCTGGGTCTGATCGACATTAGCCCGTTCCGCTGCTTGGTTGAGCCTTTTTGATGCATGTCAAGAAGTAGTGCTGCTTGATCTCGCTGCTTGCCATCAAACTCACTTCCGGCCATCGTGTTACGATTCTTGTTGAGCAATCGGGCCGAAGGGGCGGAGGCGAGTTCATTGGTAGTCGAAAGCGGGCTGGCTAACTGTGGACCATGAGAGCTAAGTTCACTCCTGTAAGCAGAAGGTGGTACTGGGGGTGGGGGTGGGCCAGTGACAGATAACGTGGAAGAGGCGAAGACTCCAGGTCCATAGATTCTCTCTCGTTCTATTTTTTCTCGGACCAGAAAATAGATCGAAATCAATGGATGAAAACCTCGAGTGGGGTCCAAAGAGTCGAGGGTTTGACCATTCAATAGGACGGATTCAAAGCCGTTTGATATTGAGGAGTTGGGATCTGAGTTTGATTTGTCGTCATTCTTGGCTCCTCCTACGGTATTCAATACAGCAGCCAGGCCACCAGCCATCTTCTTACTATAAAAGCCGAAACCGGAAAATCGCTTGGAAGATTTACTAGGAGTTCTATTCGGATCTCGATCATTCTTAGCATCTCGTTTGTTGCCGCTGATGGGAGACATTGAAGTATTGCTGCTGCTATGCGCGGTATTGTAGACTGGTTCCAACGACCCGTTTGTACTACTTGTTCGTTTGTCATCATACAGCTTCAGCACTTTCACATACATTTCACTTGACAATACCGAGCGAAGATCAGCCTCAATCTTCTCAGCCGACCCGAATTCGAATCCAGTCATTCCCTTGATTACCTCGGGGTCAATTTGATTTATTCGAAGTGGTTCACGATGTGGGATGTGTGGATCAGGTGGTCCATCGTATCCTTTGACCATCCAAGGGTGATTGAGGATCTCTTGCAGAGTAGCTCGGTTCGAAGGATTGGTGACCAACATACGAGATAATACATGCTTGCATTCTAATAACATGGACATGCTCATCATTAACTCAGTATCATAAACACTCCATCGAAAAAGATCAGAGGATCCGTAAGACTTACCAGAGCTAAGCCAAGTAGGATAATCCACTTGCCCCCGCTTGATCTTGGCATGCAGAGCAGGCATAGACTGGTCATCAAACGGCACTTTCCCACACACCAAGACAAACAACACGATCCCAAAGCTCCAGACATCCACTTCAGGTCCGATATACACTTTCGCATTCAAGAGCTCAGGAGCAGCAAAGTAAAGCGAGCCACAGAAAGTTTGGAGATTCGAATTGGGTGAGAATAGGTTCGAGAGGCCGAAGTCAATGATTTTGATATTCCCGGTCTTGGAGATCAGGATATTTTCGATCTTCAAATCTGAACAAACCAAATCGAAAGGAGGGGGAAAAAGAAAGTTAAGGATTAGGTATTTGTGGAGGGTGAACATGAATCAGAATCTCGCTGACCTCGATGAACTATAGAATTGGCATGGCAATACTCGAGCGCACTACCCATCTGCCTGGCAAACTTTCTAGCCGCTCGCTCCCTCAAGCGACCATGGGAGATGATATAGTCTAACATCTGACCCCCGTTAACATATTCAAATAGCATGTAGTAGTGATGCTAATCAAGAGAGTGCATGTCAGCCTGGGGAGAGAAGAAAAGCTCGGTAGTAGGCGGGTTTGGGTAGGAGATGAAACTAACCGGATAAACTAGCATGCTCTTCATCCCACAGACGTAAGGATGATGGAGCAGGAGTACGATACTAGCCTCTCTGATCGTTCGGATCTCCTTGCTGATGTCCTTATTCTTAGCCTTTTCGATAAAACTCGGGCTAGGAGTGATCGGTTGAGATTTGGTGTTGTCCTTATGATCTCTTGTCGAGGAAGGGCCTGAGTGATTCTCTTTGTTCTTATCCTTCTCGAGCTGCTGTTGAGCTGCGGAGAGGGAGGTATGACGTGGGATGATCTTGATCGCGATCTTCTCGCCGGTGATGGATGAGATGGCCAGTTTGACCTTGCCCATACTTCCGGCACCGAGGGTCTTGCCGAGGGTATACTCACCCAACTGGCGACGAGATCGACCAGGCATGTTTTGGGTGAACTGAAGCGATCCCGAGGTGGGCGATAGATGAGAGCTGGGTGAGGCTCTGGTAGGTTCGTTGTTTTCAGGGGAGGCTAAGGTTGAGGTGGGAGAGACGAGTTGAGAAGGGGGAGGATGATGGTGGTGAGAGGGAGGAGGGGTTTGAGCATTGCTGGGGAGTATGGATTGACGAGGGGTATTACTACTGCTGTTCGATCTGATGGGTGGAGAGATATTGAAGGGTAAAGATTTTTGAGTGAGATTGGGATCGTCTGGGTGTGGAGAGTTGGAGTGAGATGGTTCGTTGTTGGTGTTGTGGGGCTTGATGAGTTGTGGTAGAGGTGGTGGGGGTGGGGGGAGTGGTGGTAGTGCTAGAGCAGGGTGAGATGATGAGGGTGAGGTGGGTTGATGGAGTGATCGGATGAGCTCGTTCGAGGTAGTTGGGGTGATGATCCGGAGTGGGCTCGGTTGAGGGTTTGGGTGATCCGAGTGATTCTTGGTGGTAGTGTTCGAGGGTTGGTGTTGTTCGATCTGAGTGATTGATCGGTTAGATGTTGATCTGATTGATGATGGTTTTGATGATGATGGAGTGTTTTGGCTGGGGCTGTTGTTGTTGTTGTTGTTGTTGTTATGATGATGATGATGAGTTGATTGATCGGTATTCTGAGATAGGATGGAAGGTGAGTTGGATCTGGATGGTGAGGTAGTTGTTTCGCTTGAGATCAGTGTCTCTGTCTCTTCATCCTCCTCTTCCTGCTGGTGTTGTTGTTGTTGCTGTTGCTGTTGTTGTTGTTGCTGTTGTTGTTCTGGTTCTGGTTCTTCTGTTCTGTCCTGAATCTGATGATCGGTTGAGTGGTCTTCTTCCATGTTGTTGTTGTTGTTGTTGTTGTTTGTTTTTTGTTGGTTTTTCGTTTTTCGTTTGGTTTTGTAGTTGGTTGGTTCTGGTTGAAGATGTTGTTGTTGTTGTTTGCTGTTGACCATCCGACTCCTCCTTCTGCGGGCTGAGGATTTTTTTACCCTTTTTGTCTCCGAGACAAAACTGCAAGTACATATGCTTATAGAGGAGGCGCATACATAATATACACAACAGCCATCTCTAATTAAGGAAACATAAAATAGATTGGATCATCAGAAAAAAAACATCCACCTGTACCCCAACTAATCTTAATCATCTCAAAAAAAACCACTCATCTCAATAACAAGAATCAAAATACCAAACACTACATGCTCTCTTTTTACACTTCATCAAAATACATCCCCAATCTTGTAATTAATAGTCACTAACTCTGATGAAACAATGCATCCTTTTATTAAATAAAAACAGAAAAAATGCAAAGTGGATGACCTGGTCATGTTGAACTTGATTTCTTTCCTTCTGATACTAAACTCAAACAAAAGCTTGTTTGCTGGTGAGAACTCAAAATGCCAACTGTAGGTTTATTCTTTCACACCTCACACCAAAAGTTTGCTGTAGTTGACCTAACCAATCAAGGCCATCCATTTTTTTTTCCCCTTTTTAGGTCAGATAGCTAGTGGTCTGTGTGAATGGCACTTAAACTGGGGCAATACAGTTGCGGATGGCAAAAACCGACCATGCCCCGCCCGCAAAATCAAAGATTGACACGCGGGGTCTATGCCCGGGGGGGCATGTACCCCGATACTTATTTTTATTACAATTTTGAACTCCTACAGATGTGTAGAGTTCAAAATTGTAACCACTAAGCTTCTACTGCAGTGGTTCTTTTTTTTTTTTGTGTGGCACACATGTATCCGGACATGCTTACCAAAAGCCATACTTCAACCCATATTTATGGGTTTAAGTTAGCCTTATTCATGGTCTTATACCTCTTCGAGGTTCTTCAAGTGCCTGTAGCATCAACTTGGAGTGTTTATTCGACACTCTGAGCCAGTTTTATATTAATCTTTGGCTCCAAAAGGGCTGGAAAACCATGTAAATACCAAAAAAAAAATCTAATTTTTCAGCTAAACTATTTGGACATCCTCCAAATCCAGGGTCGGTTTATGCCGTCCGCAACTGTAGCACTTTAAAAACTTGTCAAGGGAGACCTAGTAAAAGGGGTATCCAAACAACCCAGCCAATTCTACTTGCAGTTACTTCCTCACCACTACTACCCATTCCAATTGGTTAAACTCATAGCCACATCTGTTAATTAATAACACAATGGATGAGGTAATTTCACCTACACACAGGTTCTTCTTGCAGTTCATTGATCACAAGTATCATATTCAATTGGAAAATGTGATCATGTTGGGGCAGGCCGCAGGATGTAGGTGCACTGTTCCTGGGTGATTCATTGCTCAGCTGTTTTCTGGATTGTTACATGTCTGCCAGGCTTTTGGGTGGTAGTCTCAAGCAAGAATGGGTAGTTATATTACTTTGGGATATCTGATGATCTCCAAGAAAACAGCCAAAAAAAAGTTACTTTATTGTTACTCTACCCGTGTTGGGTAGAGTAACTACCCATCATTGTCTCAAGCCAATTTGACTGAGTTGGGTGCAAAATTTCAGAAGAATTTAATGAAGCTTTACTGGGACTTTTGGGGCTCTGCAATACCTCCAAAAAAGGTCTCTCAAATTTTATCCTCAGCTGCTCTTCATACCTTCCGTTTTGTCAAGATACAGTCATACACACATCCTAGGTAAGTAATCTGCCCATAAAAAGGTCATTCATAGATTTTTGGTATATAAGTTACCAACTTGATAATAGCAGCCCATCCAATTTGGTGATCCGCATGTGGTTTTTTCTGCATGAGTTCCTCCAGACTACCATGCACCTGGCATACTGAATACATCAGATGGTTTTTCTTCAGATCAAAAGCTTCATGTATACCGTTGGCGGTAAGCATACTTAATTGAAGTGGGAAAAAAATGTGGATCCTCCCTTGAAAGACCAAGTATTTCCTTATCTTTCTTGCACCAGCATCAAATTTTATTGGGGTGGCGAAGCTGCTCCTGAACCCTCGTATCCCTTGGAAACAATAAAATGAGTAGGTGGTTACTTTGAGAGCGGCGCAGCTCTTCTCTGAGCATCCATCATCTATTACATGTGGCAAATCTCATACTTGCGGATGGCTGGTGTAGTGAGTGAGTGGCAAAGTGCTCCATTCGAGGGAAGCGTTTTTGAAAGGTTCTGAGAGGTTTTCCTTCGCTCTTGATTTTTTTAATTTCTGCAGGCTCTTTTGTGATACATAGGATGGCAAGTTCCTGCTGGATTGCCGAGATGATCATTCTTGCGTTGGGCCTGTTGGATACCACATGTTCAGGCCCTACTCACCTGCCTTCTAGCTCTGATTTTGCAATGCAACTTGCCGAGGGATACGGCTCTCATCCGATACTCAAGAGACCATCTTCTGGCCAAAAATATCACAAAACCGACATTGGTATCTTACCAGACGGGCAACGCTATGGTGAACTCTGCATCTCTCTCTCTCTCTCTAGTCCCTCCAACAAGCCTCAGCTTAGAAAAGCAGACTGATCGTATTTTGTTTTTACTCCCTCATCTTTGTTCTTAACGACATGAAAACCAAGACCAAGTGGAGGAGTGTGTGAAGAGGCCCAAACTAGACATCAAATTTTCAACGCCAGCCGCTCTCCTTCCTCCAAGCTGCAATATGAACGACTTACACCAATTGAATTTTCACTGCTTTAAGCCAGAAGGAGAATCTATGACACACTACGCTTGGATTGCTGCACTGGTTTACTCGGGGAGCCAGAAAAAAATTGATCAGCTGTTAAATTATCCACCAGAGAACGCTTTGATTTACCCGAATGAATCACCACGAAAATTAATCCAGGATGCGTTTGTTTCAAGTGACAATTTTGTCAACAGCATGTCCAAATTTCATTCCATACATCTAGACCGCATCATTCATGGGATAAATCTTGTGTTCGAAGGTTTGTGTTACATGAGCACTATCTTCATGTCAACCTTTCAGGATATGACATCTGATTTAGCTAAAGCAGAGCAACATCAAATCTTTCTACGGTTCATGCACTTTTTGCGTGATTTGAACACGATCGCTGGTTCGGATGTTGAAAAACCCCACGATTTGCCCACTTGTTTCAAGCTTGTGATCGAGTACTTGAAAAGTGGTGAAGACCATGCTCATGCCGAAATCGACTCAAATTCAAATTCAGATCAAATGTTTTGGAAGGTGAAGAAATATAGCAACGGCCCCTTTGTTCTCATCTCAACCCCTCAAACTATTAAGACTCATTTGATAGTGCATTTCCTGGGGTCTTACTACAAATCCTTGAATGAAGCAAAATGGAATCTTATTTTCTCCGAGGATCTATCTTTTGTCAAACTCTTTGCTAAACTGAAAGCTATCGAAATCAATCGGAAGATGTTATCAACTTTCAAAAGGAATTATCAAAAATGGGGTGCGGATGGTTCAAATAATATCTTCCCATGGATTGATAAGTTGAAATGTACAGATCCAGGAACACTATCAGAAAATCATAATATAATTGTTTCCAACTTGTCAATGTGGGATATGAGTGAATTCATTCAGAGAAGTACTGCATTTTCTTTCAACCTGGATTTGAATAAAGAATCAAGCCTGGAGAGTAACTCTGTTCCAATAGGTAAGTTCTTTCAGTGTGATTTGTTTCATCAAACTAACAAATTTGATATTTCTAATTTGAGTATTGACTCATAATCTGTGTTTTTTTTATTAACCCTGATGGTTCATGACTAATTTCAGAAAGCTTTGAGGACTTTAATGTTGATCCAAAATTTTATACCTGGATTATTTCATCAACATATCCAAATCACAAATTGAAGAAAATCAACTCATTTCCTTTTGGATTTCAGAATGATGCTGGGTATTTGAACATTGTGGATGACATAAATTCCAAATATCATGCCAATGAATACCAAGTTGCCAACAATACACCAACAATTCTACCTATGGTTCAAAACCTAAATAATTTGATTGAAAAAACAATTAGAATTAATTATTGTTTTGTTTACACATTTAACAATTGTGAAGACAATTCAGTTTTTCTTGATGATCAAAAACTTCTCATGGAATGGTTCTTTGAACAAGTCAAACAAGTTATTAGAATTGGCACAACCAACAAATTAAAAGGCCCAGAGCAAGATAGTTCATTCAATTTTCAAGAGAATGATTTACTTCACAACATGCTTTTTGGATATTTAAAAACAAAATTGAATACAATGAATTATCTTGAGGAGACTGAAGGATCAAGTAAAAAAGAAACCTCTAAAGATTTGCCATCTCATGCCTTTTCTTGTAAACTTGTTATTCAAATACTTGGAAATTACTACAAGCAAACAAATCCTGAAAAATGGAAAGCACTTTTCAACACTGATATGGAATTTCTCAAATTATTAGTCTATTCAAAAAGCCTAAGATTATCAAATTATTACAGAAACATATATTCAAACTGGAAACATTGGAAACATATTTCCATCTTTCCATGGCAGAATGAAATTTCAAGCTATCAATTGGAACTTATTAGATCCAATAGGTTTGGATTGATTGCTGCTTGTGCAAAGAAAACGTTGGAACAAGTTTTCTATCCATTGGATAAAAGGCCTAGCTCATCTGCTTCTGGTAAACTGAGAACTGGATCATAAGTCAGAATCTATTCTAATTCTATTATGAACATCTACCTTATCTGCTTGAGAGAAAAATCAAACAAGTTCATGATCAAAAAAGAATCCTTCTCTTTACATAGATATTAAGTCAATTCACAAAAACAAATTAACTACATTTTCAAGAGAATTAATGAAACTGATTTCAGCATAGAAATCAAACTTACAAAATTCACCTATATCCTCCAACATGTCATGTGGATGAAAAGTGGCTTTTAAGAATTGTTAGTGTATAAGATTTGATACTCAAATCAGAATAAGAAGTAGATCATTGTCCCATTCAGAGGTAGACTGCATTAGGGGGTATCAACTATAGCTAAATCCATCATTATTTAATTGACTGGTTTGAAAAAATACACCATTTTTTTAAACATGTTGTATCTTCATTCAAACTCTTGGGGGAACCATTGATGCATAAAATATTGTTTGGGAAAAGTGACTGGTTTCTAATGGTAGATTTCCTATGTTTAATACCCCCTATTGATGAATGGAATACAGTGAAACCTGTCTCAGGGAATACCCTTCTGTGGGCATAGCCTACATTAGGGTGTAGTGAAAGGCTTCTGCTAAATCTTGATTTTGATGCAAATTCACTCCCCATGAGTGCATAAACTATCTAAAGGTGTAAATAAATCTTTCCTCCAAGAGCCCAGGGGTATGCCCTTAGACAGGGTTTTTGATTCCAAGAGATTACTTGTAGGTGTTGGTTAAACAACCCCCATAATTGGATTATGTTGAGAGGGGAAAAAACATCTCTTCAGCTGCTTTGCTGACCAAATTTCAGGTTGTCCATCCCTAGCTGCTACAATCTGGGGGGAGGAGGGAAGGGGTTTTTAACCAATTTCCTGGCCCCAATGGCCAGTGAATCCTGTGTTGTCTAAGCAAGGCCAATTCCTCCCAGCCAAAATGGCAAGAGCTCTATCATCTTGGTCAGGATCCCTCTGTTCCCAGCTTGCAAGCTGATACAACCCGTGAACATTCAAATTGGTGATCAGATGGCGTTAAATTCTATCTGACAAGATACTTTGTATTCAGACACAGGCATATTCACATGAGAAGAAGAAAAAAGTGTGTGAGGTGAAATTGCAACCCCTGGCAAGTAATATTCCTCCTTTCCAATTTGGACCACCTTGTACCTGCTAGAGATGGGCCCGGTGCATCCGGATATCCGCACGGATGCGGATATCCGGCTGCTTTTTCCAGGGAAATGGGCATCCAAACCCGCATCCGCAGCCGCCAGCGGGTATCCTCGGATACCCGCCCTTTAAAAAGTCGGCGAGGCACCGGCTGGAAGGGGTTCCTTCCAGTTGGCAAGAGGCACATGCTTGCCGGCTGGAAGGCTTTCCTTCCAGTCGGTACATGTACGTACCTCGCCGGCTGGAAGAAACCCTTCCAGTTGGCAGTGGCAGGGTACATGCGCCAGCAAGGTGCATGTACTGCTCGCCGGCTGGAAGCACCTAGTAAGGCAGCTGGCAAGGTACATGTGC